GATAACACCTTGACTTCCTCCTTATGTGAAAGTTCTATACCTACACCATTTATTCCCCCTTTTATTGTTTTGGCATTGTCGTCATTTACAGATTGGTGTCTCTGTTTCCCTGTTTTAAGTCTTTTAGGTATTTTTTATTATTATTGAGAGTTCTTTATGTAGGTTGAGCCCTGGTGGCACAGTGGTTAAGAACTTGGCTGCTAACCAAAAGGTTGGCAGTTCAAATCCACCAGCCACTCCTTGGAAACCCCATGGGGTAATTCTGCTGTGTCTATATAGGGTCACTATGAGTCAGAATTGACTTGATGGCAATTTTTTTTTTTAAACCTAGGTTGGTATCTGTCTAATGCAGTCTGTGCCCTAGATTCAGGTTGCTGTCTGATGTTGTTGGTTCTCTAATCGAAGGTCTCCCTTTAATATTTCTTCAAAGTTTGCTTTGGTTTTTACAAATTCCATTAATTTCTGTTTATCTGGAAATGTCCTAATTTCGCCATTGTATTTGAGAGAGAGTTTTGCAGGATATATTCTTGTTGGTTGGTGGTTTTTTTCTTTCAGGGTTTTATATTTGTCATCCACTGGCTTTCTGCCTGCATAGTTTCTGCCAAGTAATCTAGAGTTTAATCTTATTGTTTCCCCTTTGTAAGCAACTTTTCACTTTTCTTGAGGTGCTCTTAGTATTCCTTCTTTGTCTTTGGTTTTGGAAAATGTGATTATTATGTTTTGGTGACTTTCTTTTGGAGTCTATCCTTCATGAGGTTCATTGAGCTTATTTGATGGTCAGCTTTTCGTCTTTCATGACATTTGGGAAATTTTCTGCCAGCCAATCTTCAACAATATTCTCTCTGTTTTCCGTTTTCTCCCTTCATTCTATAACCCTGATCATGTGCAAATTCTTGCTCTTGATTGTGTCCCACATAATTCTTTAGGTTTTCTTCATTCTTTTCTCTGATTTTTCCTCAAAGTGGCATCCATGGATTTGTCTTCAATTTCACTGATTCTGTCTTCCATTGTTTCTAATTTGTTACTAAAATATTGTATGGAGTTGTTGATTTCTGAAATTTTGTTTATCTTTTGGATCTCTAGTTGCTGTTTTGTGTGATTTATAATTGTTTATTTACTTTGACTTTTTTCCTGTATTATTCTCCTGAATTATTCTGCTGCTTTGTCTGTGTTTTCCTGGATTTTGGATATGTTTTCGTTGATTATGTCATTTTTTCCATGATTTTGTCTGTTTTTTCCTTGATTTTGTCTATGTTTTCCTTGCTGTCTTGCCTAATCTCTTGGAGAGTCCTAAATATTAGTCTTTTAATTCCACATTAGGTAGGTCTGTTGCCTTTTCTACTGAAAGGTTATCTGATTCTTTGTTTTGCTCACTTGCTAGAACCACCTCATCCTGCTTTTTTATGTTTTGATATTGTCTGCTGTCTCCGAGACAGTAAGGTATTATTTTCTTTATTTATTGTGTGTTTGTTTGTTTGATCCGGCTTTTTTATTTTGCTTTGATATGTCGGGGCTAGCAGGGCAAGCATGCTTTGCTGCTTGCTCATCTGTGAGCATGTTAGCTCTCACCACCTTGTACCAATCGGCAGGGCAGCAGCAGGCAGGGCAAGCCCACTTTGCCGTACACTACTTTGGCGAGGTGGCTGAGGGCAGACTGGGTGGGCTCTGTCTGCCTCCTGATGTTAGTCCAGTGGTGTGAGAGCATTCACAGCCCCCTACCAAATGGGCAGAGATGTCGGATGGGGAGTAGCGTGGGCTTGCTTCCCACCTTTCAGCAGCTGGTCAAGTGGTAGAAGGGGAGGGGTTGTGCAGGCCTGGTGCAGCAGCAGGCCTGAGTGCTGGGGACACTCTAGCCATGACGGTGCAGCAGGGGCTGGTGGCGAGGAGGGGTAGTGGTGTACAGCATAGATGGGAGGGTGAAAGGAAAGAAAAGAGAGAGAAAAAACATAAGTGTAGCTGGCAGGTGGGTGCAGGGCAGACTCAGGGGCTAGCAGGAGGGTGGGGGAGTGGCATACAGGGCTAGGTGGGAGGTAGAAAGAAAAGAAAGAAAAAAGAAAAAAAATGGTGATGCAGTGGAGACTGGTGGATGGGGTTGTGGCGGATCCAATGTAGCAGAAGGCCCTTGTGCTGGTGGCACTGTAACCAGGGCAGCTTCGTGGGGGCCAGCAGGAAGGAGGGAGGTAGTGTATGGGGCTAGGTGGGAGGGAGAAAAAAACTGATAAAGGGAAAAAGAGAAAAACTATGGCAGTGCAGCAGGATCAGCAGATGGGGGTGGGGTGGAGCCAGGGGTCAGTGGGAAGGGAGGGGATGTCGTTTATGGGGCTTGGTGGGAGGGGGAGAGAAAAAACAAAAGTGACGTTGCAGTGGGAGCCAGTGGGTGGAGGTGATGTGGTCCCAGGGCAGTAGCAGACTGGTGGATCTCTAGCCATGTCGATGTGGTGGGGCTGGTGGGAAGCGGGAGAGGTGGCATACTGGGCTAGGTAGAAGGAAGAAAGAAAAGGAAGAAAGGGAGAAAAAGCCATGTGGCCGGAAGGGGCAGGGCAGACTTTGCGGGGAGCTCGTATAGTGGACACGGGCCGTGGTGGCTGCAAGGTTGGTGGTGGTGGTGAAGGTTCTTGCTTCTACTCACCAGAAAGATGAGGGGTGGGAAAGCATGTTTCTCTGGTTGCTAGGTGCTCTTTCTCCTGTTGGGAGCTCTGTGAAGTTGCCTTCCAATACTCCCTGTGTGGACTTGTTGCTGGCTGTGCTTCAAGATGGCGACACTGTGCCGTGTTAGTTGGCAGGGGACCTCTAGTTTGTATCTCTCCTCATTCTCTGTTTTCCATCAGTTCTTTCTTCCATTTGGTGTTTGATATAGTTCTTTATCCCTTCATTTGATGCTCAAGGTTCCAGGATTGATGTTTGTATCTGTTTTACTTAGTTTTTCGAGTCTTTGCTGCAAAGGGATGGCATGGTGCATCTGTCTAGGGTGCCATGTAGGCCTCACCTCTTTTTACAGTATTTTATTGTGTTTTAGGTGAAAGTTTACTCAGCAGATTAGGTTTCCATTTAATAATTTTTATCAAATTGTTTTATGACATTGGTTACATTTTTCACAATGTATCAACATTCTCATTATTTCTATTCTGTTCGTTCTGTTTCTGCTAATCTAGCTTCCCTTCTCCTCCTTAGCCTCTCATCTTTGTTTTAGGGTAAATGTTGACCATTTGGTCTTACATAGTTGATTATTTAAGGGAACATAGTGATATTGTTTATTTTATAAGCTAATCTGTTATTTGGATGAAAGGTGACCACTGGGAGTGGCTTCAGTTCCAAGTTCAAAGGACATTTTAGGGCAGTAGTCTCGGGGGTTCCTCTAGTCTCTGTTGGTCCAGTAAGTCTGGCCTTTTTTAGGAATTTGAGTTTTGAGGACCTTCTGTTGTCTCCCTGGTCAGAACGGTCGGTAGTGATAGCAAGACACTACTGGTTCTTCTGGCCTCAGGCTAAATAAGGCCTTGGTTCACGTGGGCTATTAGTCTGTGGACTGTTTTCTTCTTTGAGTCTTCGTTTCCTTCATTCTCTTTTGTTCCTGACAAGTAGAGATCAATAGTTGTTTACACACATTTTCTGACCAACTCTGGACACTCAAGAGGTAGCCATTGTCTCATGTCACGCTTTTCTTTAGTGTCAAGCCACTCAGAAGAGCTGTCTTTGCTTGCTGTCTCACCTCCCAATGACTCTCTGATGTCCCACTTAACTGCTGTTTCTCTACCTTTGTCTTAGTGGTCAAGGTCATAAGTTACTTTTTTTTTTCTTGAAATTCTCTTTGTGCTTTCTTTCTGTGGTACTGTTTTTCTCTGTTGTTTGTCTTTCCCTCATGATTCTTTGTTGAATCCTTTTACTGTACTTGTTCTCTGGATGAATGTTGTGTTCCTCAAGATGTCTTCTTCCAGTTTCTTCTCTTTAGTTCCTTCTCTTTTCCCTCTGGGAAATATATATGCTTCATACTCTTCCTGTTTGCTTATGACTCTCTGAAGCTTATCTCTCCTTTCCTGAGCTATCTCCACCCCCCTTACACAGGCAGCGTGCCTCCCTTTCAGTGCTCCACAGACTCTTCAAACTCAGCATGTCCTCAACAGAACCACAACATCTTCCTTTTTAATGTACTCAGCAGCCTCTGTTCTCTCTCCTGGCACTTCTATCCAGACAGTCATCCCAGCCAGAGACCTGAACACTGTCGTAGAGTCTTCCCTCATGCTCACTCCCTGGCGTATTCAGTAGTCTGCTTTTTCCCACTTCATTTCTTCATCTCTTGCTTATTGAAAACCTGCTATGTGGCACCCGCTTGGCTGATAGACTCTGAGGTTGTTGAAGTGGTTTCTTTGCATGGGTAACTTCCCAGCAGCATATCCTGAGCAAGTATTCAATTGCAGGTGGTTTATTTGGGAGGTGGTTTAAGGAAACACTGGGAGGGGAGTAGAAATGTGTAGGAGGCAGCTTATACTGATTCAGTAGAACTAACTGTGTACATCTCTTCCCAAGTCCAAGTTCAGTGAGGTCGTGGTGGCAGCTTGAAATTGGCCATGATGGGAATATTTATAATACGGAAATTGGCCAATGGCTGTTTGTTAAATGCTTACCAGCACGTTATTGGAAGCAGGGAGTTGAGACAGGGAAAGGACATAAGTAACACTGTGGACAACAGGAGCTTAATCCCACTGGGAAAATCTCTGGAAGCTAGTTTAGAATACATCCTTCAAAGCCATCCACTTATGGGGAGAAGGAGCTGAGGTGTTTATATACCAGTTCCCATCAACCATTGGTTGAGAGCCACTTCTGATAGGCACAGTAGGATCCAGAAACCAGGGGAAGCCCTCAGGCAGTTAGAGGCAGGCTGGGGTGAACTTCAGTGGTAAGGCTAATGGGGTGAAGGCAGGGCTAAGCAAATGATGGCTGACTGAGGCACGGACACCCAGCATTGGGTTGTTAGTAATGTGTGGTTGTTGTCTTTTTCTCCCCAGAGCTTGACCTCATGGACCTCATAGGGGAAGACAGAGAGTGGATGCTTGGGAGGAAGTTAATGCAGGTGAATGACACTTTGACTTCCGAAGATGGAGGACTCCGAAGCAGCAAGAACTGCACTGAGCCAGGTAAAGAGTGGTGGCCGCGTGCTGGGCAGTGGCTGCTGTCTTCTCTAATTATGGCTGAGGAAGAGCTGGGTGCCATGGTTTGTTTCTTTGTTTTTTTCCTTTGAGTTGTAATCCAGAGGTACTTAGAGAACATTTAGGGCAGGTGTCTAAGAAGCTCAAAGGTGAGATCCCAAGGGACTACATAAGGCGTCTACCTGTATTCTTTTCCTAGTGGGATTGGGGAAAAGATAAGTTAAAGTCAGTGATTTACTTCTGATCCTGCATTGATGTCACATGTGGAGGCAAGTGGGAAACTGAGTCAGGAGTAGGATGGGTGAGAATGTGCTATGGCCATCCTCACTTGGATCCCTGAGATCAAAGGAGCCGTGTTTTTATCACAGTAGAGATGCAAGGAATCGGACCAGATCCTCACCCTCGATGTTGATCTTCTTGGAAGAAATGAGTATTTATTTTGTCAGTTGTTATATCTGATATCTACTGTGCCTTTTCTCAGAAAAATATATGGAACGTTTAAACGTTACTGAACTGAAAAAGAAAACAAAACTCAAAGACAATCAAGGGGGGACCCAGCTCACCAAGCCTCAGGGAAATGGCAGGCACTCCTCTGGACTGATGAATTCCTGATAGTTTAGACCAGGCGTTGGCAGACTCTTTCTGTAAAGGGCCAGATAGCAAATAATGTAGACTTTACAGATCACATACAATCTCAGTAGTATATTTTTTTACATTTTTAAAAAATCTTTATGAAGAGTTAAAAACTATTCTTATCTCACATGCCATACAAAAAACAGGCCGTGGATGGGTTTGGCCTGTGGAGCATAGTTTGCTGATCCCTGGGTTAGACTTTGAAGCTCTTTGGGGCCTTCCTTGCCTGGTGGCTAGACGTGGCCTCACGTGTGTTTCCTTTAAGGTCCAGGAGCTCGGCGACATGTCGAGCCTGCACCCAGAGGTCTGCTTCACTTTCACTGTCACCCTAGAAAACATGAACAGTCTTCCCTGCACCCCAAAGGACTGTGGGCCTTTGAGTATACAGTGTTTTGTGAAGTTGGGGGTGTACTCTTTTTGGGGAGGTGTGTAGAAATGTCCTCCCCAACCAAACTGAGAAGCTTAACAGTCAACTCCCAAGAAAAGCTAGAAATAATTAAAATTATATATCCAACGCCCTCCCCCCCCAAAAAACTACATAATTTATATTCCTTAAGCTGGAGAATGCAGGGTTATTGTGGCTGTTATTGGGGCCCTGGTGGCACAGTGGTTAAGAGCTTGGCTGCTAACCACAGGTCAGCAGTTTGAATCCACCAGCCACTCCTTGGAAACCTATGGGGCAGTTCTCTCTGTCCTATAGGGTCGCTATGAGTTGGAATTGACTCGATTGCAGTGGGGTGGCTGTTAATAAACACTCACAAGGAACATTCTTCAGGTTATTGAAGCACATGAGCAGCTACGTGAGCTGGAAATGAAAAAGTCTTGAGGGTTTGCGTGCTTCAGCGTGAGGAGACAGAGCCTGTGTGTGTTGAGAAATGTGGATTCTCGAGGACTAGACTGGAAGCAGGGCAAGGACAGTGTGGGCCACTTCTGTGCTGAGAAGCCTGCGTGGTGATCTGGTCTTGTAGCCAAATACTTTTCAACGACAAACAGACTGATGGTGACTGAGATGTTAGAAGGCAGGGGATACAGTGTCACAGAGCACAGCATCCCGTTTGGTATAGGGAAGAATGGAGCCAGACAGGAATGGTGGCCTGTGCTCTGACGGTGACCAGCCAGGGTGTTGGGCTCAGCTGTTTGCAGGGCTGGCAGGGATGGGGGTCACTTGTTCTCTGTTGTTGAGGTGTGTTTAGGAGGAGATGGTACAGTTTTGCTGTGAGTGGCATTGCTCACTGTATCAACAAATGCCTTTCTCAGAGTGACAGATGTAGAAGAATAAAGCACATTAAAGGCTATTTCAAGAGAGGAAATGACTCAGCTTTGTCGGTAGAAAGAAAACGTCCAGGTTGATAAAAAGAGCACAAACGCAGTGTCTGCTGATGTTGGCAGGGAGGCCATGGGGAAAGGGAGGAGAAGAAAGGCTTCAGGAGGAAAATGGGAAGGAGGGAAAGAGAGCTCGACCATGTGTTGAGTAGGTCCATCCTCATCTACACACTCAAGGAACTGGGCTAGATATTTGGGGCCCTTGACTTTAACTAAATTCAATAGAGAAAATGGTCATACCTGAGATAGGAAGTGTCCTGTTCAAATGCAAACAAAGACTGACTCAGCCTGCATTCTTCACAAAGTCTTCATGGTGTCCTTCAGTTTTCTGAATGTTTATGGTACAAAATGTCTAAAACTGTGCTGTCCAACATGGACCTTCAATGGCTATTTGAACTCAAATAAAATTAAAAATTCAGATTCTTAGTCGTGCTAAGCCACCTTTCAAACAGCCAATTGCCACATTTGGCTGGTGGCTACAGTGTTGGACAGCACAGATGACAGAACATTTCCATCATCTTGGAAAATTCTCTCGGGCAGGCTGTTCTATAACTTCCAGCTGTCACTGGACATACCTCCTGTCTTTCCCACTCAGTTGCAAACATCTCAAGACTAGAGGAGATATTAAAGTCTTCATAGCCCCATCCCCCAGCCCAGGCCTTGGGGTCACCCTCACCTGGTTTGAATGCCAGCTCATCCACATAGGAGTTGTGGACCTGAGCTTGGGTCAGCCTCTCTGTGATTGTGCCTCTCTGTGAGATTTCAGTAACCATTCCGACCTCTGTCAGATGTTGTGAGAAGTGTTAACAAATTAGTAACGTGTGCACAGCTTAGTGCCTGCGTGTGATAGAACCTCAGACCGCTACACCAAGAGCTTATCATAGACTTCCCACCATCTGCCGGGGGGGTTGCCCACTTTGCTCAGAAAGGTGGATTATAGTTCAAAATTCCTGAAGTGGTTTTCTCTAGCCCTTCCCCACAGAAAGGGCAGGTATGGCACGTGCGGCTCTGCCAACAGGCCACGTCCACAAGTGGTCTGAGTCAGAGTGGTCGGCCAGCTGGACAGTGAGGTTCAAGCACCACCTTCTAACACAGACACACTTTGAAGACCTTGCACATGGTAATGAGCACAGACTCCTCTGTTGAACAGTCCATTTTAAACAAGACCACGATGGAAGAGTTGGCACAGATGCGTGTGATTCCAGTTGCCTTGGTTCTCAGCGCTGTTGGAAGTTGGCTCCTCAGCCCAACTAAACAGATATTTTAAGACAAAAAGTTGAGAGCCAAAGCATTCATAAGTCACTGATTAGAATTAACATTTTCTAGTATATGTCTTCTCTACCCCTAACCTGTGGGGTGAGAGGATGGAGCTGGAATAGACCAAGGCTTGGTCAATTCACAGAACGTTGCCCAGTTTCCCTTAAGATATAAAAGCTGCCCTGGATGCAGTGGGTATTTTTTGTCCTGGTTGGATGTGGTGATGTCTGCCCTCAAACATCATAAATACAGAGGCTGGGAAGAGAGCCATGTGGTTTGTGGAATGAGTCGCTTCCTACTTTTGATGCATGTCAGCAGCAGAAGTGTACTTACACAGATAACGGCATCGGGGTTTCCTCTGTGCTTGGGAGGGACGGTTATTTACACAGGAACTTGAGCTTTGAGGAGCCGGTGTGCCATGGTGTGTGAGAAATGGTGCCAAGGTCACAGGAGGGAGTTAACTTGACTCCTGTCAGAAGATCCACCCAGTGCCTCTTGTGAGGTCACAGGGCTTCTCAGACTGCGTTCTCAGAACCCCTGTCTTGAGATGCTAGCAAGGCATCCAGGGCGTGGGTGTGGAATTGCTTCTGTTCTGCTTGTATACCCTGTTAGACTTACCGGGCTTGGACTCTCCTCACACGTCCATGTCCTCACCGACGAAATGAGACCTTCAGCTAGTTTATCCCCCCCAGCCCTTCCATTGCACAAACCCAGGAATTCCAAGATATTTCACGAATAGAGATTCACAGAAAACTTCTGTATTAAGACCCTACCCCTACACTTTCCTTAATTATTCTTTGCATTTGCAGAATTCCATGTTATACCTCAACCCTTGTCTTTCTCTCTTTCTCTCTCGGCATCTGGTTTTGGGCTGGGGGACACCCTTATAAAGTGACAGTGCTGTTTGTTGTTGCCGTGGCAACGGTTGAGACGACACACTCTTTGTATGAGAGTTGCTGCTTTAAAGACATGTGCTTTGTACATTTAGGAAAGTATTTTAAATATGGCATTCTTTGCTGCCCCTCGAAGACATGGTTTTGGTGGAAATTTTGTGATTTTTACTTCCAGAACTCTGTGAAAAAACCTGAGCTCGGGACTCCAATTCTTCTGCAAGCGCTCCAGCCCTCTGCGAATTTTTAAGTTTGTTTTCCTAGCCTGACATTGCCGATCTCATCTGAGGTCTGAAAACATACTGCTTTTTTACAAATAACATTTGAAACTGTTTACTCAGATGACCCATTAAGAGAAATTTAACTTTGAATAAATTTGATCCACACCAATTAAGTTAGCTAAATTTAATATCGAGGGTGGTGGACACCTCTAGCAGAAATGAATTATTCACAATATTTATTTATACACTTTGCAGCCAGTCTCCAAAAACATCTATCATCTTTTAGGTTTTAGTTCTCTGACATTTTAAGGAAATGAGCTTTTCTTCAAATAAACTTAGCAGGAAGGAAAATATTTAAAATGATGGCCTTTGGCATGGGCTGCACTTTGGGATCGCTGGAATTTCTTTTGATAAAGGCTCATCTCATTCTTGCTACCTGGCTTGTTGGTGTCTGTGTCTTTGAAGGCACAGAGGACATCCTGGTCCTGTGTCGCAAGACTGAGGCAGGCTGGTGGGGCCCTCAGGGGATGTGCCAGGAGTTTATCGGCAGGGCTGGAAACAAGCTAATCAGATGGTGAAATGTGAATTGCAGTGGAGGGGGGAAGCAATTCAAGGTAGTTCCCAGGGGTGAGTGTGCCCATAAACGAGAACTGACGCCAGGACT